GTACATGATATATAATTGTTAACAAGCGCTGAAAGTGAAAAATGCCTTATACTCAGGTGTGCACAAGTATTACGTAGGTTTTCTTTTATGGGTAAAATGCGCCAAAAAAGTTTTAACTCACAATGAAAAGTCAAAAATGATTAATTATTTGAGAAATATTCAAAGCTATTGCAATACAGAAATTGTCAAATTAAATCATGACCACTGGACAACAAAATGCTCATTGACTATGCAAGGTCAGACAGAAACAGGTGGAGAAGAAAAGATGCATGTTAACAGCAAAAGACTTTAAGAATTAAGGTGAAGAATCAGGTGTGAAACCACCAGGATCCCTTTAGTCTCCAGCGCCACCATTTTACAGAATTCAAGTAGATCCGATGAGTTGAAAACTCTTGCTACTCCATACTTCAATACAAAACAATGCTGAATTTTGACAAAAAGGAGATGTTTAAATGCTGTAATTGTGATTTTTTTTTAATGTCTAAATATAAATCCATTAGCAAAACATGTGAAAATAACCATTTTACAAAGTGGAAATGGTAAATGAGACGACAAATGATCATCTGCTGCCATCTAGTGGTCATAGTGGGAATCATGGAATTTTAATAGTAGGCCTATTTGTTTTTCTGCCAGGTGAAATCTTGGCAGAAATCTTCAACTTAGTATGGCCAATTTTCCATTAATTATCTCTATAAGTAAAAATGATAAAATGCAGACATTCTTTAAAGTAAATTTTACTTGATGTTCTCATTTTATGTCCGTCCACCGAGCAGACAATATAATCATTTATCAATTCAAGGAAAGATTATTTTCCTGGCCAAGGAAAGTAGCTTTCCTTCTTTATGCATTGCTAGCAGTAATAAGGCATGTAGCAAGGGATCAAACAATCAGTGACTTCGAATTGTGAGCAACGCACAGAGGCAATCATTTGTGAATATAAGGGATTTAATGAATGAAACTATATCTAACATATAACTAACTAAGCAAAACACATATATACAGAATGAAGCAAAGTAAGGAAAAGAGA